CACACACACACACACACACACACACACACACACACACACTCTCTCTCTCTCTCTCTCTTTCTTTCTCTCTCTCTCTCTCTCTCACTCATGCACTCAAATTCGCACACTCACACACACACACAAACACACACACCATCAACCATCTCCCACTTGAAGACACATAAACAACAACGATTGTACCAGAATTGTTTCCATCAAGTATACGTAAAAAAATAAAAACAAACAAACAAACAAAAACATGTTTAATATCTTTATATTTTTGAGGGTCTAAATACGGAAGTCCATTTTCGTTTCGGAAATTACGCATTCTCTGTTTTCAAGTATGCTGCTTTGTTTATTTGCCCTGGTGGTGAAGAAAAAATGTGAACTTCAAAGACCGGATTTGCGAGTAGTAATGAAATCGACGCCCACAGACCAGAGGGAGTGGGAGAGTTCTGTTGCTGCAGGTCTATTTTGAATAGCTTGAAATGATTGAACGCAGAAAAGTCGCAACTTTAGAATTGGTCGCTTTTAAGGACAAGCGGGCTAACCCAGATTTCGGGGGTTTCCAGAAATCTTGACCTACTCCAACGGTGAGCATTGCCCTACCTATATAGGAGAAGTTTGGTTTCATCGGTGTGTTTGGTTATAGAAACTGTCCGTGTTTTTAAAGAAACCGAACAAGGGGCAAACATTTTCCTTCGATTTTCTCAAAGCAACATTTTTGGGGGATAGCCCCCTTGTGCTTAAAAGTGACCAATTACAAATCGCTTTCTGCTCAACTTAGTACCTAGATATATCTAGATCTAGTTTTGAGAAATTTGAGGTCAAAAGTTTTGAGTTTCACGTCTTGTCAAGCCTTATTGAATGCAGTTATTTGAATATCTTGATAACGATGCTGGATAATCTTACGATTTTGATAGAGTAAATGGAACATTTGTCAAATGTTTTGAGAAATTTGGGGTCAAAAGTTTTGAGTTTCACAATGTCTTGTCAAGCTTCATTGAATGCACTTCTTTGAATATCTTGATAACAATTCTGAATAATCTTACGATTTTGATAGAGCATATTATTATAGAACAGTTGGTTTCTGACGTCATGGCCCTAGATCTAGTATCTCAAAACAGCCAAAAATGTCAGATAGAACTTTATATTTCAAAGGTAGTGAAGGGTTTGGAAGGGGGGGGGGGTAATTAAATCTACTTGGCCAGTACTCAGTACCCACCCACCATCTTGACCCACTGTATGGGTAGTCTTTTTTTCAGTTTTGCTAAGTTGTCAGCTATAGTTGATTGTTAATCTGGGTGGTTGGCGGGTGCTCTGGTATAATTTTCCCTTCAAGCGTCTATCGTCTTTATCTCCCCTCGTTCTTTTTAAAATGTTTGTTACTCTCTTGTAACACCTCTAATCTTCGGCACTTCTATGACCTTATTGTGTTGCAAGGGCCATGAAACACTGACTAAAACATGATTGTTTTTACCAAGTAGTGGTGAATAACTCTCCGCTTGTTTTTTCCTCCCTCTCTCCTTCCTAGACGGGAACATTGCTGTGAAGACAGAAGATAACAATAACAAGAGGATCAAATTGGAAAAGAAATCAGGTGAGAAAAGTTTTTGTAACACATCGTCGTTTTGCTATGAATGTTTTTCACCCTATCAACTTACATTTTTTGGGGGAAAATCAACTTAAATTTAGATTTTTTTGGGGGAAAATCAACTTAAATTTAGATTTTTTGGGGGAAAATCAACTTAAATTTAGATTATTTAAAAAAACCAACAACTTAAAGAACTAACAAAAAAAACCAGGTTGCTCCGATCTCGCTTCCAAAGGCCTAACATATTATATTGCGTTGATTTTCTTTGGTCTCTTCACATTCTTTTGAGGGTTTTTTCAGTCACATCTAGAATTTAATAATAGTTCTTTGCTTTTTTTTTCTATTTCTTTGTTTTTTTTGTTTTTTTTGTTTCTTCTGTAACTTTGATGTACCTTTCTAGTACCTCTCATATGTTCTTTCAACACTTTTCTGTAACATCCCTTTTTATTCTTTTAACACTTTTTTCTGTCACTTCTCATATATTCTTTTATTGTTTTCTTCTGTCGTTTCTCCTATATTCTTTCAACGCCTTCTTCTGTCACTTCACATATATTCTTTCAATGCATTTTTCTGTCGTTTCTCATATATTCTTTAAATGCATTTTTCTGTCGTTTCTCATATATTCTTTCAACGCATTCTTCTGTCGTCTCTCATGTATTCTTTTTACGCTTTTTTCTGTCACTTCTCGTATATTCTTTCAACGCCTTTTTCTGTCATTCTCATATATCCTTTTATCTTGTTGTCTTCTGTCGTCTCTCATATCTCCTTTCGATGTTCTCTTCTGCCACTTCTCATATTGTCTTTTATTGTTTTCTCTGTCGTTTCTCATATCTCGTTTTGATTCTGTCTTCTGCCACAGATGTAAAGACGGAGAATGGCAAGCCGGGTTCGGTGGGTCTGGAGAACCAGAAGTCGTCCCCCCAGTCCAGCGCGCCCCAGCGACCCCCCTCAGGGGTCACGACCCCGGCCTCCATGATGTCGGCGGCCCCCGGAGGTCCAGGGGGCGTGGTCACCTCTCTAGAGCCGCCCTTCATGCAGCAGCAGAGCGAGATCTTCGTCTTCTCCACAAACTTAGCCAATCAGGCGGCCCAGAGCGTCCGGCGCGGCCAGTGCAAGAGCATCTTACAGTACCACTCGGAGCACCCGGACACCAAGGCCTTTCTACAGGTAGCTGAAATCTTCACGATTTGGGTTGTTGTTGTTATTGTTTTCAAATCCCTTTAGCTGCGAGCATTTCACTCTTGGCAGCGCGATGCCTCCCTCAAGTAACCACATGTCCTTGTCATGACTTGGGTAAAGTAACAATAAAGCGCGGTCATTTGCCTTACTTTTGGTGAAAAAAATATCCATCTAGATCTATGTTGAATAGAAGTTGAAATATCTGCGGTTGAAGGAGGTCAGCGTCGATGGTTTTAGAGGTAAAATTAATGTGAAAATGGCTGCCAAAGTTCGGTAATTTCCATAGCTTGAGAGTCCTTGAAAACTGACAATTGACATTTTTTGTGCCTTTAATCAATGTTTTTCAGTAAAATCCGCACATAAATGTGTTTTTAAATGGGCATAAAAGGTGTTGAGCCCCCAAAAAAAAAAAATTCGAAAAAAAATTGCTGAACTGTCAGAAAAATGCCAATATATCTCATTTCACTATTTTGATGAGCACCTGATTATGCCACAATGCCCGACCTTTAAATGTATGAATATTGTCATGCATGCACTCATAAGCTCAGATGTACACATTGACATGTAATATTTGTTTTGTTGTATCGTCTCCTTCCTTGCTTCTTTCCTTTCTTCATCATTGCTCCAGCCTCTTGGGCATATCTGCTTTCTTCGAAATGACGAATTTGTGTCTGATTATGCTATTTACCGCAAACTTTCACCGAGTTCATATAAATATTCCAAGCAGAAAATAACAACTTTTATGTGGCTTACATTTTTGTGTTGTGTTGCGTCTTAAAACTGGCACGTTGAGTCATGTCAGTGGGTTGTTAGGCATAGTAGCAAGCATGCTGTCCAGGAGCTGTGTTCTTTCATTTTCTCCTTGTCTCTGTCAGAAAAGGCTTCAGGCCGAAGGACTAGAATCCAGATGTCCGCTGAGTCGGAAAAGTAAAGTAAAGTAAAGTAAAGTAAAAGTCGCTGTCAGAATCACATTCAAAGATTAACTTCGTTTTTCTAAAGTGTGCGAAGCTCACAGAGATCACTTATTGTTGAATAGTATTGCAAAATCTTCTTTTTACAGGATGTTTTCGAAACACACAATAATTTTATTTTTAGATGGAATCGAAAGTTGTGGATCGATAACAACAGATGGCAACAAAAGTGCAGAGACAAAGAGTGAAATGTAAAAGATTCATTATGCTCATTTTGTAAAAAACATGTTCTCACACAAGTTCTCAGGCTCTTGAATTCTTTTTATCCTTACAGAAAAATCCACTGAAGGCCAACAACTTTCGGGCAGGAATGCCACATGGAATGTCGGGTCCCATGAAAGGACAAGTCCCCATGGGCATGATGCGGATGCACGGACCCACGCCGGGATCATGGGGACCTCACCCGGGCCCCGGCATGGAAGACCCCAGTATGATGGGACCGGGCGGGATGCCGCCAAACGGACCGTACGCCCCCGGGGGTCCGGGACCCCGCATGATGGGCGGCTGGCCGGGACAGGGCTGTGGCGCACCGCACCCACACCACCACCACCCGGGCATGGGGCCGGGGTTCGGACCTGGAATGATGGACATGGAAGGAGAGCTGATGATGGGACCGGGGGGTCCCCATATGTCGACGATTTCGTCCAGCCAGATCCCGGATGAGAACTTGACCCCCGAGCAGCGACAGCACCGGTCTAAGGGCCTGGCTCAGCTCACCAAGATCCACCAGATGCTCATGGGCAGCGTTGGACAGCAGGACGGCCGCCAGCCGCCCATGGACGGGCACCCGGGGGGAATGTACCCGGGCGGGCCGCCAGGCATGATGACGTCGCAGCAACAAGCGATGATGTCACAGCAGCAGGCTATGATGTCACAAGGCGGGATGATGCCACCCCACGGCATGATGGGACCTCAGCACCCGCAGCACATGATGCAGCCTGGCATGTCTCCGTATGGGCCGCGTGGCCCGCCTGGCATGCCACCTGGCATGAACGGCAAAGACCAGGTATGCGTCCAGTAATATGTGTCACGACGCGGTGGAATCTGGCTCTTGTCAGTTTTTGGACATGTGGAGTTATTGGTGTCATTGTAAAGCTTGTTCGTTCGTCTTGCTTTCAGTGAAAAAAATATGCATCTATCATGAACGAAAGTCGAAATATTTGAGGTCGAGGGAGGTGGGGGTCGCCTGATTTCAGAGGCAAAATAAATGAGAAAATGGCCACCAAAGTTTGGTGACTTTCAAAGCTTGAGCGTCCTTCAAAACTGCGATTTAACAGTTTTGTGCCGTAAATCAGCATTTTTTCCAGTAAAATCCACACAGAAATGTGTTTTTAAATTGAGTAAAAAAAAATAAAAAATTTACTAACAATTGCCAAACAGACAGAAAAATGCCAGTTTCTTTTGACTTGATTATTTTGACTTGATTATTTTGACTTGATTATTTTGACTTGATTATTTTGACTTGATTATTTTGACGAGCACCTGGTTTCACCACAATGCCTCACATTTCTCAACTTTTTTGCCTATGTCCTTCATTTCTGCTGTTAGTGTTTGTCGGTCGGTCGGTCGGTCTGTCAGTTTGGGTTTGTCCTGTTGGTACAGTATTGTACCAGTAGTGGGTACAAGTGTGTGACAGGGGATGGTTGGAGAGCGCCACTGGTAGGGTCTTACTTCTCTTCTTTCACTCTTTTGTTTCTGTCTGTCTAACTTGCTTTCGCCCAGCTCGAAATGACTGTGTGGGTAGTTGGCGGGTGCTCTGGTGTGGTTTGCTTCTTCTTTCGTTGAAACATCTATTGTCCTTGTCTCCCCTCCTTCTTTTTTGTGTATGTTACTCTCTTGTAACACCTCTAATCTTCGGCACTTATATGACCTTATTGTGTTGCAAGTGCCGTAAAACACTTACTAAAACTAAACTAAAACTTCTTTTTTATGTTTGTTACTCTCTTGTAACACCTCTAATCTTCTGGCGCTCATATGACCTTATGCAGTTGCAAGCGCCGAAAAACCTCTACTTAAACAAACTTTCTTTCCTTCCCCAGTACCAAGCCCAGCGAGACTGGATTCACGTGCAGCAGGAGTACTGGATGGAGAAGCAGCAGCGCATGCAGCACATGGGTCGCGGGGGTCACATGGAGCCCGGCCCTCCCCCGCCCTCCTACCTGTCCTCCATCTCACAGAAGCACGGAGGTATGGGCGGCCCCACTTCGCCAGGGATGAACGGGATGAGGATGCCCATGCCACACGGGCCTCCCATGGGGCCAGGGATGGACCCGGAGAGTATGGCCATGTACGGAGCGCCGCCGGATATGTGCCGGCCTCCGCAGATGGGGATGGACCCTATGTCCGGGATGCCGGGCTACGGCCCTCCACACGGCATGCCACCTAACGGACCCATGGAGCCAGGGTTCGATCCAACGATGGCAGGAGCTATGCCTCCGGGGATGGGGCCAGCGGGACCTCACGGGCCGGGCGGCCCTCGGCATCCGGGTCCCATGAGACCAGCGCACATGATGGGGCCCAACGGGATGATGGGAGGCCCCGGGATGAAGGCGCCCACTCAGGTGACCCTGCACCGGGCGGGGAACCCCGAGCAGTTCAACCCGGAGACCATGGGCGGGGTCGTGCCCCCGATCACCGCCAGCTCGACCAGTGGCAGCAACAGCAAACCCCCGCCCAGCTACGCTCAGGCGCAGAAGAGGAAGCGGGACGACAGTGACGACGGCGGCTACGCCAAGGGCAACCTGCAGCAGACGCCGTCCCCGACGAAAATCCACTACCACCTCAGTCAGTTCGAGGGCCAGGAATTGACGATCACCAAGCAGCTCAACTCGGCGTTTGTGGCGGGGAACGGTGGGGACGAGGGTGGGGGTGCCGGAGCAGTAACAGCCAATAATAACAACAACAATAATAACAATAACAACAACAACAACAACAACGGTCCTATGGCCTGCTCAAACACGCCGACGGGTGTAGGTGGTGCAGGCGGGCCGCACTTCAACAACCACGTTAACTCTCCACTCCACGCAGGCACGGGCCCGGCAAAAGGTCCCTTGTCCAACTCCAGCCAAGCGTCTGGTGGCGGTGGGGGCGGCCATATTGCCAACTCCCCTGTGGTCAGCGCCCCCGGCCCCTCCCCCCTCACCGGTCAGCAGCCCTCCACCCCACATTCGGTCGGGGGTCCCCACTCCGCCGGGGGCCCCCACTCGTCCGGAGGACCCCACTCGGCGGGCCCCGTCCCCAACCCTGGTGCTAGCATGAGGTTGTCTCACTTTGACCCGACGCCGCTCAGTAACGGCGTAAACAGCGCCCCGCACACCCCGAACCCCAGCATGGCCACCAGTAAGACTTCCTCGTCCTCCATGTCCAACATCACCTCCGCAAGCCTGGCCAATCTGGCGAAAGGTGTTGAGAACTTGTCCAATCAAATGCAGCAGAATATGATGCAAGGCGGGCCCTTCCACAGCATCCAAGTTCAAGGTCAGATGAGCAGCAACAGCGGCGGGGGTGGAGGAGGAGGTGGTGGTGGTGCCACCGCGGCCAACAGCAGCAATGGTGGAGGCATGCCCGCAGCCCCAACTACCTCTTCCTCGCCCGTGTCCAACGCAGTGGGCCCTCTGAACTCGCACACGAACAACGCAGGTGGTGTGGGCGGCGGCTCAACGCAGGCGGGCCCGGTCCCTAGCGTGAACAATACGTACATCGCCACCAACATGTCCATCTCGCAGGTCAACGTGCCCAGCCACCCGGCCATGAACAGCTACGTCAACATGCAGATGCAGAGCATGAGCAGCGAGTCGTCGCACATGGCTGCCGCCGCCGCGGCTGGGGGAGTGCCCCCGTGTCCCCCCGGCCAGCACCCGATGCCTCACGGGGGAATCCCCCCCGGCGCTAACGGAGGTATGGGGGTCATGGGACCCGGGGGCGGTCACCCGTCAGCGATGATGCCCGGGGCGGGAGGTCCGAGGATGCCTCACCACCACATGGCTCAGTCCCAGACAATGATGGGGCCCTCCATGGGAGGTCCCATCCCCCCGGGAGGAGGAGGAGGGCCTCCTTGCTCCAGCATGGGCCCCGCCCCAGGACCCCCGCAAGCCTCCATGGGCCCGGGTGTGAGCGCACCCACCGGTCCCATCCCCCCACACAGACCTAGCTCTTCCTCCAGCATGCCCGCCACCCCTCCCGCTGTGACCAAAGGGGGACAATTCACCAGCCCGCCACTCTCGCACCCCCAGATGACGGCCGGCGCAGCCGCGGGCTCCCAGCCTCCCCCCGGAGTGCCCTCCCCTTCCTTCCCCATGACCTCCAGCTCCAACTCCAGTGTTCAAATCCAGCAGAAGGGACACAACACCATCCAGTACCTGCCGGCCAACCCCCCCACATCGCAGCCGCCGGCCGCCACCGTCCCCGGGAAGCCGCGGCCGGACCTGGACTACAACATGCCGCGCTTCCCCTCGCCCATGAGCGGGATGGACGGCAAGAACCCGTCCTCCAACCTCCAGTACTTCCCCAATTCCTCACCCACCGGCGGGCCGCGAGCTCCCATGACCAACGCGTTGTCGGCGGCCGTGGCCATGGGACCTGAGTTCGTGAACCAAGCCACGATCGCTATGCACCACTCCTCCATGATGCGAAGCCCCAGCGTGGGAGACATGCAAGCGATGCAGAGTTCGGGCCCCGTCCTCCCGCCCCAGGTGGGCTCGATGGGACCCATGGACAACCATGTCTCGATGGGCGGGGGGCCCGGTCCCATGCCACCCGGACCTGGTCCCATGATGGGCGGACCCCCGGACCCCATGATGATGGGGGGACCCATGCGGCCCGGACATTCCCCCGGCTCTATGCGCCCGCTGCCCCCTGGGATGGGTCCGGGGAGTTTGGACTGCGTGTCACCGATCCCCGGGATGGGCGGCTACATGAACAGCGGTCCGTCCATTGAGCAAGCTCAGGCGCAGGCTCAGGCCCACGCGGCCATGATGATGCAAGGGAACAGCCAGATGCCTGTTTCGTCACCCCACGGCCCCATGCCCCCAGGGTCAGCCCCATCGGGTGGCCCCTCCCCGCACATGGCCCCCGGCCCGCCACACGGCCCCATGACCTCTATGCACGGCCCCAGCATGCCCCCTGGCAGTATGCCGGGCTCTTCGCCGCATGTGTCTGCGGGGATGCCCGTTCACTCGCCACACGGGCCGCCCATGCCTGGGGCCATGACGGGACCCTCACCTCACGGACCAATGCCGGGCCCCATGCCAGTCCCTTCGCCCCATGGACCCATGTCAGGTCCGTCGCCACATGGGCCTATGTCCGGTCCTTCACCTCACGGACCCATGTCCGGACCCTCACCACATGGACCCATGTCCGGACCCTCGCCACATGGGCCTATGTCTGGCCCATCCCCTCACGGACCTATGTCCGGACCATCCCCTCATGGCCCCATGCCCGGTCCAATGTCAGGTCCATCTCCTCACGGTCCCATGTCTGGACCCTCACCTCATGGACCCATGTCCGGACCCTCACCTCATGGACCCATGTCCGGACCCTCACCTCACGGACCCATGTCCGGACCTTCACCTCATGGACCTATGTCTGGACCATCACCACTAGGTGGTCCCATGCCCGGTCCTTCCCCTCACGGTCCCATGCCCGGACCTTCCCCTCACGGCCCTATGGCGGGCCCATCCCCCCACAGTTCAATGGCCGGGCCAATGCCCCCACACGGACACATGGGCCCCATGCACGGACCCTCAATGGCCCGACACCCGGGTATGCCAGGCATGAGAATGCCTGGACCGGGCATGGCGGGAATGCCCCCCGGGGCATCGGGGCAGTATAGCGGCATGCAGTACCCCCCTTACCAGCAGGACTATTACGCCAGCTCGGCCCGCGGCCCGCCTCGGCAGATGTTGCCCGCCATGATGGGTGGTCCGCCCGGACAGCCGTATGGCATGATGCCCAACATGCCGGGGCCCAGCTGAGACTCGATCACGTCTCCCCCCCCTCCCCCAGCCAGCCTGCCTGCTTCTCATTATCGCAACGACCACCACCACCACCTCGTTCTCTCCTACTTCACGACGCCACCTCCATCTCCACATCCTCCTCCTCCTCCTCCTCCACCACCACCACCATAAACATATGTCAGACAGATGTACATAGCTCCTTCACCCACCACCCTGCCAGCCGCATCACTCATCTGCGTCCCGCTCGCCTCACCAGTGACAACTCCCAACGTCTCTGACACCACCCGCGTGATGACCCGACGACCTTCACCAACTGCCAACCGTCATCAATGTACCCCCCCTACTGTTATCTGACGAACAAAGAATTCTCCGGTCCATGACTGTGCACAGCACTGCATTGCTCTCGCTTTTTTTCTCTCTATCCAGCAACTACTGTGAGCTTGCATCGTCAAGCCACTGGCTACTCACACTAGCCCGCCCTCCCTCTGATCTGCTCACAGTAATATGTTGATGTATTAGATCTTCGCGGAAAGTATTGCTTTCGTTACATATTGCTTTCGTTACATATCCGTTATTACATACAGTTGAGTGTATCTCACACCTGTGAAACTGAATTTTGGATTTACAGTTGGCTGCAAAGGGAATTCGTAAATTGTGTGTGTTAAGTACGCTGGAATATGGAACAAGCACTTACATAATTACAAAGTGGAACGGGTTGAAGTTACGTTATGGTTGAAAGTGGATTCGTTGAGGAGTACATAATAATTGTGATGGAGAGTGTGGAGCCCGATTGGAGTACGGTTCAAAGTGGAATAAGATACGAGTTCAGTTCAAAGTGGATTTATACTGGAGTTATGATATGAAGTTGAATCTTTCAGGGGTATAGTGCTCTGCAGATGCTAGTAGGAGTACCGTACAGTTCGAAGGTGAATTCAGTTGGAGTATTGTTCGTACCGAAATCGAAAAGGAGTAAAAAAGCAGAATTCAAAGGGAGTACCTTACAAAATGGAATTCTTTAAGAAATTCTGTGAAACAAAGAGGAATATAAGAGCTTGCCAGAGTGGAGGTAACAGGAGTATTCTACTTGGTGAAGTCTACAGGAAGAATTTATTGTGCAGAGCGCTGTAGTTTCTCCATGGTTGGCAGCTGTGAGCGAGATGATGATTATGATTGGTGTCACGTTGTCGTTCTCCAACAGGTCCAACTGCCACACAGGGTACCGCCTCCTGGATATACCGGTATCGTCGCCGACATCGCTGGCCTTGTAATCCGCATCATAGCCTCGGCAGATGCTCCACCCACCAACCGTTGATTGATCTGCTGACACTTTGTGGAAGAATAAAATAAGTGGGTTCTATGGCCGGGCAGTACTGGCAGTATTTTGAGTTCCGGTATTAACTTGGTACTGGACTTCGAATATCACCAGTACCGGTACCGGCAATATTGAGTTCTGGTACTTGACTAGTACTGGACTTCGAATACCGCCAGTGCCGTTACCGGCAATATTAATGAGTTCCAGTACTTTACCGATGCTGGACTTTGAATACTGCCAGTAGCGGTACCGGCATTATATAGAGTTCTGGTACTTTACTAGTACTGGACATCGAATACCGCCAGTACTGGTACCGGCAATATTGAGTTCCAGTACTTTACCGATTCTGGACTTTGAATACCACCAGTACTGGTACCGCTACCAGCCCTGCGCAAGTGACTCGTTGTCTCGGGGCTCCCACCACCAGGGACAGACAGACGGACGTCCTAGTGGACTTTGTTGTAGTATAATCGTGCCATGGGGTTGATTTCTCTGGAGTTGTTCACACTCCTTGGTGTTAGTGTTGTTAACCCAAGGAGTGAAAAACAGAAGAAAAAAAGTAAGAAAAGACGTACGAAGGATTACTTTTACCTCTGTAGCTGTTCTGCTTTCACTTGATGGAGATTTCGCCCAAGCTGTTCTCTTTTGCTGATTAGTGGCTCAATTTGTTCTCAGCTCATAATAATAATAGTTTGTTGGGGATTTTTTTTTCTTCTTCCTTCTCTCTATTTACTGTACACAACTGTAACCATTGAAGAGCTTTTATTATGATGATGATGATAATAATAATTATGAAATGTGTTCTTTGTGATGCTGAAGAAGGGGTGATGTTTTGTGCTTTTTTTCTCTCTCTCTACATGCCCATCAGCAATAGAAGATCTTTACTATGGATGTGTCTATAATTGTGCTTACTAATTTTTACTTTGCTTTGTTTTTTGTATAATTTTTTTTTGGGAAAAGCTGACAAACTTCTTCCAAAGACAGCTGATGTTGCTGAAACCACAGGGCATGGGAAATGCTAATTGGGGGGTGGGGGTGGGGGGGGGGGGGGTCTGCTGACTGGCAGACAATTCCGGAAGGAATTTACGTACCCGTCTCTGTTGGTTATACACCAAAAAGTGTCAAGATCCTGTTGCCATAAACTTTGTTTGGATTTTGGTTGTTTTTGTACGTGTGTGTACCTCGTGCACTATTACTGAGTACGTGCTTTTATCTGTTTGAAAGCTTATTATTATTACAGGGGTGTTTGCTTCTTGTGTGGTCGGGTGTGTGTCAAAAATATGTTGGGGTCCTTCGGTCCTTCAATGAATGAGACAGTATATTCATGTGACAATTTTTATGAAATTTAAGTTTGCATTTCTTTTTTCTCGGAGTCCTTTACTTTTGTTTCCTATTAATTTGATGTCGGTAATGATAGGTTCAAAAATGTTAATGTAGGAAGTACATTCTGTAATATAAATTTTTTTTCTCCAGTTGGAAGGGTCTGATGATTTATTTACCTAAATAGATGAAGTAATGAATGCGTCAATGGCAGTGAAAAATAATGTTACCTCGTTAGAAATTTTGTCATGAGCATGACCATGACATTTCAAGCAGTAGAAAGACATCTTTCAAATTGACCCTTTACTTTTAAAAGAGAGAAATCATCCTGTTTGAGGTGTAACTTTATGTTTACTTTGGGATTTTCTTTAAATTAAGAGCCATTTCTTTTTAGTTTAAAAAAAAAGAAATTTATTATAAATAGAAAAATCACTATAAAAATTTTCCACTGAAATAGCAAAGGCACATTATAACATTGTTTTATGATTGTTCCAAATTCTGACCAAAATAAAGCTATCACATGATGTTCCTCCTATATAATCTGTGGCAATTTCGTCTTTTGTCGTAATTTGGGTTCATAGTTCATAATGTGATTGGTACTGATTAGTTGATAAAGATTTTTGCTTACAATCACAGATTCTGGGGTTTTGGGGTGTTTGTTTTTTTTTCTTTTCTAATCAAGTTTAAAAGAGGAGGAAGACAGCTATTCAATTCAATGAAAACATTTCAATCACATTATTCTGATTTATTAATCTTTGAAAGTCGAGCTGCAACGTCGTTGAAGCCCCAAATTATTATTTTTTTAAATTGAAAATCAATTATTATAATCAATAAATCCAACTTAAGTTGGATCTTGGTTGTCAAAATTTTGGAAACCAAGATCCAACTTATATTGTGTGGATTATATTTAATTCTCAATTCAAAAAAATTAATGACGTCAGAACTCTCACAAAGTTGTTCTGTCTGTCCTCTGTACTCAGCATAATAGTACGTTGCTTTACATTATTCAGTAGCGAGCGTTGCGAGGTAGATGTGTATATTTGTCTGACTGCTTGTACTGCCTGTGAGCTCACCCCTGGTTTTTCGTGTTACTTGACCAACCAAGTGCCTTGAAGTAGACTTTTTCTTCTCCTTTCTCTCTTTCTCTGTCCTTCTCCCTTTCTCTCTTTCTCTGTCTTCCCCCCCCCCCCCCCCCCCCCCCCCCCCCCCCAGCTCTTGTATTTTTCTTACTTGGGTGTCCAAATGGATAAAAGCCCCACTCATAGGGTAACTTTATCTATGGTTAGGTTAGGATTAGGTTGACTAGTGGCCAAGGGATGGGTGGTAGGGGGAGGGTTGGGGTTAGGAGTATGGTTTGGGCTCCGTTTCAGGGTAGAAACTGGGATTTGAAGGACAAGGTCAGGCAGGGGTCAGGGGAATATTTTGGCGACAGATACTGGGGTAAAAGCAGATAGAGCTAGTTTTAGTTGGATTTGTTGTTTTATTCCTCCCCACTCTTTTTGTGTTTTTTGAGCATGTGTATAAAAAGAGTGTTCTGCGTGGGTGGTTGGCAGGTGCTCTGGTGTGGTTTGTTCCTTCTTCCCTATCATACTTCTATCTTCCTTTTATCTCCCCTCCTTCTTTTTTATGTTTGTTACTCTCTTGTAACAGCTCTAATCTTCGACACTTATATGACCTTATTGTGTTGCAAGCCCCGTAAAACCTCTACTAAAACAAACATAAAAGAGTGTACTGCCGTTTAGGGTGTAGTAACAGTAATGGTTAGGTTCTTCACCGTAGTATACCAAAGACATGAGTTCAATTCCTGCTCATTTTTCGGAGTATCTCTGTCTTTCTTTAGGGGTGCTGTGCCTTCTTGTGTCCTCGTTGGCCCTCCCTGGCATTGGCCAGCTTCCTGATTGATCTAAATTGTTTGTGTTGATGGGCGCGTAAAACACTTACACTTTTGTGGGTGGTTGGCGGGTGCTCTTTTGTGTGGTCTGCTCCTTCTTTTTTATCAAACGTCTATCATCTTTATATCTCTCCTTCTTTTTTGTGTTTGTTACTACTGTCTTGTAACACCTCTAATCTTCAGCACTTATATTATGACCTTATTGTGTTGCAAGTGCTGTAAAACTCATACTAAAACAAAAGTTACACTTTTGGTAGTGTATTCTATACTTAAAAGGTCCTGAATTTTGTCTTGTCTGCCGTGAATGTGAGAAAGAAATGCGGTATATGTTATATGAGTGTTCTGAGAGAATCAGAATCATGAATGTCTGAAAGGTTGGTCTGTTTTCTTGGTAGAAATTAAAACCCAACAAGATTTATAATCATAGCAAAGAGATCTCATATATTCAATGTCGGGTTGGTTTTTAAGAAAATTTAATTTCTTCTGCTTTACTTCGTCTTTCTGGTGAACTTTTTACTCTTTTTATTACCGTCTGCTGCAATACTTCTTTTACTTTACCGTTTCCTCTGACTTAATGAATGTTTCGCTGACCCGTTTGCTCACTCATTCTCTCATGCATGCGCGCGCGCGAACACACACACATAAATACACACTCACAAACACACATAAATATGCACTCAAACACACACACACACACACACACACATACACATACTCAGATACACACTTTGCAAAAAATGTTGAACAAGGTGTGAATCAGTAGTTGCTGAAAGTGTGCACACTGACACATGCTGCTATGTGGGGAGGTTTTTTAGCTTTCCTTGAAATTTGCTTGTTATTCAAATTCATATTCTCGAATGAAGTTGATTCATTATTTGTACGGAAATTTACTGTAAGAAAAGAAATTTTACCACTGTTCAGTATTCTCTGAAAGAAATGTGGCATCTATGTATATCTGAACGTCAGAATAGAATATAATATTTATAAGGCCAAAATAAGACTGACCCACTATGGTTCTTGATACCATTGGTTATAAAATCGTCAGCAGTATATATATAATATATACCATAGTTTACCGACTCTTTATAAAACAGTATGAATTGCTGCCGCAAATTTCCTAGTTGTAGAAAAGTAAGTCAACATGGACGGAGTCAGAGAAGGACCTGGAATAGGACTTTGCGAAAAAAAAGAAAAAACATTTTCTCACAAATCTGACTGAAAATTATGATAGCTGTCATCATGCATTATTATATTCATGATGTTTTACCAAATTTGTAGTATCTGACCCCGTAGTCAAAATTGGACAGTGGCCTCTAAATTTTTTCCTAAAGATTTAAAATTAATTTTCCAGATTTCATCTGGTTCATCTGTTGTGTCTGAAGGCTATAGGTGTTCATGTGTGGGTTTGATATTGGAATTTAAATTTGGGTAGAAGTTTAAATCTTTAAGTTTTGTGTCCGTGTGTGAGATGTATTCAGTTTTCGTTTTGTCTGAGTGCTTGTGAGGGAGAGAGAGAGACAGACAGACAGAGAAATACTACTTCTGTAACTTTTTTTGCAGTTCATTTGTTGTTGCTATAATCGATCAAACCACAGTTTGCCTGTTTCTGTGTGCATGTGTGTGAGAGAGAGCGTGTGTATGTGTGAGTACCGCTGTTTGAAACAGACCTGTTCATCTTGTCTTTTTCTTTTACTTGATTTACAAGTAAGAAAGTGTTGTGTTATGTGTAGGGATGAGGAGAGGGGGGGGGGAAGACAGATAAAGTGAATAATGATGAGCGCATGTTTACAGTACACTCAGTTCATACGGTCCACACAAGAAGTGTCCATTGTCAGGCTATCACATATCAGGGGCTGATTCTGCACTACCAAATAAGGATTGACAATGACATTTGTAGTGTTTTCAGGTACAGAGAGAGTCTTGCTGACTTCAGTAAGGCTCCAAAGCTGCCCTGTTACTTCAGGGTTGGGTTTTTTTTTTTTTTTTGCAATTTCTCTGCCAGTTTTATTACTTCTGTTACCACGTATTTTGTGTGACATTATATATAATATTATTATTATTACCTGTATGTACAATAATATTGCATTGGTTTTGAGCTGCTCATGAGAGAAATGAAATATTTTGTTCTTGTTTGTAAAATATGTACATAAAACATTATAATAGTTTATCAATGAACAATTTACAAAGCAACGATCAAGTTTTTGACTGAACTGACAGGACATGAATGTGTCTAGCGTGGACTTTTTTTTTTCCCTCTCCTCTTATACCATGATGATGTACCGCCATGATTGAGCCACTCTCTGGTGTGACTCTTGTTTGATCTGTCCCCGTCGTTTTATGCAAGAAAAATTCTGAAATTATGCAAACTGAGCCCAAAAATGTGAAATTATAATGCGATTCTGTTAATTTTAACAAAGAATGATAAAGGAAAATAATCAGAAATTATGCAGAAAATTATCAAATTTTGCTAAATTATGCGGGGTGCATAAAACCACGGGGACAGTTTGATGTCTCAGAGCGTCAGCTGTTTGTATATGATTATTATTGAGAGACTCCGTATTGCTGTTGGACTTGACAGATCACGTACGACGTTTGGGAGTAAGACCGTAGTAAGTGTCTGTGGAGAGTGCAACATAATGGGCGGGCTAGAAAAACACATATCAGCACTCAGCGTATACATATATAGTAGATTTTGTTTGTCTCAGGAGGCGGGTTAGTGAACCGTGTGTGTGTGTGTGTGTGTGTGTGTGTGTGTGTGTGTGTGATGTTTTCTAGTACGATTGAACAAACAGGAGGCTTCTTCGCGCTTACTTTGCGGTTGTGTCTCAAACACATTTTTTTGTGATCTGAGTGTGTTTGTCTACTGTGAGTTTTCTACTATTATTATTATTATTTATAAGATTATGTTTTTACATTATTGTAATGTGTTTGCTTTTCCTTATTATGGTTATGTTAGTGAGCTGACTCGTGTGTGCTCTTATTTGGTTTGTTGTGTGGATGTCAAGTGTAATAGGTAATTCAGAGATCTATAAAAAAAAAAAAATGAATTAGAAATTTAGATACTTGGAGTGGGGTCTGGGGGAGGGGGGAGGATGTGTTAGGTTAAGTTGCCGTTGTCAGAAATGTTAATTCTCTGAAGTTTTGTAAGGGGGGATAACAATCTCTTCTTGCAAGTTTTGGGTTTTGTTTTCTTTGCCTGTCTTTTGCATTTTATGCCTCACGTTCTGCTCCAACATGTAAGGGCTATGTAGTGTAACTGGGGTGTAAGCTTTGAGTAAAGGCCATATGAACTAATAAAAGACAACGGGACCTGTGTGTTCTAGTTTTAGATCAAAGATTTGCTCCTTTTCTTGTGGAAAAACATGCAATCTGAATTGATGGTTGGGATCATGATTCTGTTGTGGGCCGGGAGTTCAAGTAAGGCTCTAGGTCTGTTTAAGTTAACGGCAGAACATTCATTTCTTTTCACTTTTTAAAACTTAAAGTGAAATGATTCTATGATCAGGAAAAGGTTGAACTAAAACATCCATCCGCCTACAACTAAACAAAACTGATTTATGTCAACCTTTACTTTGCTCCAGTGATGCTCCAACTCTCACTTTAGGCAGAAGTTGTCTCTGTCATAGTCTAATTATTGTCAGCAAAT